ATATATATATATATATATATATATATATATATATATATACACTATACTATATTTAAACTATATATAAACTATTTTTTTTTAAATGGTAACATTTCATATTGAAGAAATGATTATATTATATTATAAAATTTATATTTTTAATGTTTTTAAGTGGCAAAGTTTGTAAATTTACAAGCAAAAAATATAAATGCGACAAAAAATAAATATAGAATAGAATAGAATAGAATAGGTGTTTTCTAACCTTTGTTTGACCTTTGGCTTGAGTGTAAAGCTGGTGTGTTGCTCCACCTACCGGTTGTTCATGGTAATACAATTGCATTTTTCAAACTCCATCATCATTATTATGGGTAGTTTTCGGGCTAATATATAAAAAAATAAATGTCATAAAAGTAATAAAATAAGTCATTTAAGATAAATTATTAACCAGCTAATATAAATAATGCACATATAAACCTAAACTGTGACATACGTTCTTATTTCTCTTTATTTGCCAATACAAATATATTTGTACTCATGCTTATTGCAGTTTTGCATTTTCTGTTCCTCTCTTACCCTCTTCCTCTGTCTCTGTCAGAGGGCCATGCGTGTGAGGAGCCACTCTATGGAGACGATGGTGACTCATAAACACAAGAGTCCTGGAGTGGTGGCAGGGGTCCCGTCCAGTGTGAGCGGTGGAGGACTCCAGCAGAATAACATGGAGTGCACCAAGAGCACCTTCACTGTACTTCCATTATTTTCATTTATTCAGATTAAATTCTTATCTCATCCAGTGTATTATTATTATAGAGCTGAGCTTTGTGTGTTTGTGTTTGTCAGCCTCCAGCGCTGTCTGCAAAATCTCCATTAAAGAGTCCAGTAAAGCGGCGCTCTGGTCTGTTCCCCAGACTGCACTCCAGCACAGAAAGTCCAACTGAGAAACATCCATCTCGCAGGTAAACAAATATACATACAATTTTATACATTACTCCAGTCTTTAGTGTCACATGATCATTCAGAAATCATGATAATATGTTGATTTGCTGATCAAGAAACATTTCTTATTATTATCAATGTTGAAAAGTTTTTCTGCTTAACATTTTGTGTGTGTGTGTGTGTGTGTGTGTGTGTGTGAAAACTGATACACTACCATTCAAAAGTCTGGGTATGCATGATTTAAAAAAGGGAGAACAACATTAATTAATACTTTTATTCAGCAAGGACACATTAAATGGATCAAAAGTGACAGTAAAGACATTTCTAATGTTACAAAAAATATTTCAAATTAATGCTGTTCATTGACCTTTCTATTCATCAAAGAATCCTGAAAAATGTATCACAGTTTTTACAAAAATATTAAGCAGCAAAAACTTTTTAACATTGATAATAATAGGAAATATTAAAAATTGAGTACCAATAATAATTGAGCACCAAATCAGTGTATTATAATGATTTCTGAAGGATCGTGTGACACTGAAGAATGGAGTAATGACTGCTGAAAATTCAGCAATGATGTGTTTGTCTGTATGTATATACATTTTTTGTGCATTAGTATTTCAGAAAAGCACTACATAAACTGTATTCTGTGTTTTTGTAGTGACCAAAAAGCAGAAGTGTTACCTCACTCGCAGGATGTGAGGTCAGAGACGTCATCCAATCCGAGTTCACCAGAGATCTGCCCAAGCAAAGAAAGGTGGGTTGCATTTGGTTTCTCAGTTTGAGTTCCTTAGGTACAGAAGATGTGAGTGCAGTGTTGGAGTGTTTTGACATTAAATGAATCAGATATGTAGTCGGGCTTTATTTTTAAATCCTTTTCCAGCACCTTCACTTTTAGCAATGTATGTGAAAGGGTATTTCTTTCTCCTTCATAGTTCTTCAGTAAACAAAAAACTGTGGATTTCTGTTGTGTAATCTCTGTCCCGTTGGTTTGGTCCTGCAGGCCATTTGTGAAGCTGAAAGAGTGTAGTGGCAGAGCTAATATCTCCCGATCCTCCTCCAGTACCAGCAGCTTCAGCAGCACAGCAGGGGAGGGAGACGGACTGGAGGAGCTGGAAATGGTGACACACACTTACACACACAGACAGAAGAGTTCTGTTGAGATTCAAGAGATGCACTGCAAAAAAACAACAACAGTATTTCAGTAACAGTGACAGTATATATTATCTCAGCATCCTTAAACCTTGAGTACTTGAGAAGCAAAACTGCACAAGATCTTATGATGGAATATATATATATACATATATGATGGAATATATATATACATATATATATATATATATATATATATATATATATATATATTTAGTACTTTTAATATATATA